TACTGGCTACTATGCAAAAACAAATAAAAAAATAAATAAATGCATCTTTCTTTGGTGTGCATTTATTTTATTACATTTTTGGCAAAAGGTAGACATTTCTTTTAAGCCAGCCCTGAAGTAAGACTGTGTTCTAGGGTAAAAAAAAAGTTGAAGAAAGTAAAAACATCTTTATAGGCATGCGTGCAGACAAGTTAATTTGACCATACTACTGTGTAAATAATATATGTTCTTTTGTTAATTGTGACCATTTAATAAAACACATGATCACAACAGTTTAATACAATCTATATGGTGCAACTTTATATTGCCACCTGCGTACGAAAAGAATATAAATTATGGCAGATTTCCAGTATAAACAATTCAATCTGCAGCTTCATACTATTCTAAGTCTGCAAATATAAACAAATTAAATGAAATTCATCATCCTCCTAAAGTTACAAGTCTGTTTATGAAGCCTAGCAACGTGTGACCGGCATGAGAAGGAAACGCAAACCGTGGCAGCGGATAAGGTGCTGACGAGTCGGAGACTCTTCATCCTCATAGACCAGACGGTCAGGGTGTGGAGCGAACAGCTGAGCCTCAAGAGTCACCAGGGAATTGTTGACTTTGGCTTTTCCATGCTATATCAGACTGACCTACATTCTAGACATACTTATGTTAATGGTCACATTGTTCGGGAACTCTGGAGGTACACGACGCAGTGGATCCACCCAGAAAATACAGCTGGATTGAGGATCATTTACCCTTGTCAGTGGTCCCTTGTGTCCCTGGAAGATTGTTAATATGATAATGAAGTAGCATATGTAATATTCGGGGCACACTGCTGTGTACAGGAACAAGAATGTCCTGGATCAGCTAGAAAAGGCAAGCGATAGGCTGTAATCTATGGGAAGACTGTATAAAGTTCATGTAAAACAATTTAAGGTTAGCTAACTGGAACCAATTTACACACTGTATACTATAATACTTGGCTTGCTAACACATATGTAACATTCGGCAACTTAGAAAATATGAAAAAGAAGTCACTTAGTTCACTTCTGAATTTTTTAAAAGTCATAATATTACTGTTCAGTTCAGATATAGGTAATTTGAGTTTGCAATGTGAGCTGAAAGTTGAAATCCAACTTAAAGCAGACCTTTACCCCCTTTCACTAAAAAAATCACATTGGTGGTGTCACAAGCGGGGCTATGGCCCGCACCCAGGTGACAGCAAAATGACTGACAGTCATTTTGCTTTCACCCCCTCTAAAAAGTCGGGCACTTGGTCATGGAGAGAGGAGGGGACCCAGCGGCATACCTCATCCCGCCGGGTGAATGTCCCCTCCATTCTCTGCCAGCGTCCACCACCAAGATGGCCGCCGGCAGGCGTCAATCAGATGGCCGCGCATGCGAGATGACATCATTGCGCGCAAGTGAGGTGACGTCACGCGCACACGCAATGACGCACACCCCTGAATCACATTACCAATCAGCTCTGCATGCTGATATGAAGTAATCGTACAATTATTAGTTAAATAAATATATTTCTCTTTCACTTCCAGGACCTCTTGGTCATCAGTGATGGAGCCCATGCCTAAGAGATGCATCCTGGGAAGGTTACATAACCAGTGCATTGCTAGTCAAAGCCCCCCCCCCCCCCCCCCCGAGATGATGTCTATGGTCACATATCCTAGTCACATGTGCCAGAGTTCCAGGAAGTAAATGTAGTTGGATTAATCTGCCCTTAGTAAAAATGGCCACCATAAGAAGAATGGGGAGGAAGATAAAAATAAGGTATGCAAAGAATAAAAAGCTGACAATTATGTTGACGTATGTGTTTGTAGATTGTCATTATTGAACATTTCTAAATGTGTGTTTGTTGTCATTTTTAAGATATGGGTGAAGTTCCTCTTTAAGGTGATGTTAAATATTTTAAATGCTAATGAAATCACTTGCAATGAATGCTGCTTCTTCATGTTTAAAAGTTTTAGTTCCTGCAGAATCAGCTGGTCTCCTGAGCACTGGTCCTGATTTGGGGTGGCTCCTTTCCCTTGCAAGGTCCCATGGAGCCACCCTTGTGTGTGCTAGTAAGATGTGTGTGTCTCCATAAATACACAGACACAGCAAGGCAAGACACTTCCCTCCACCCTTCAATTTTCTCCCTTCTGGAAACTGGTAGATGGACATCTGCTGGAGACTGCTCTGACCCTTGTCATCTTGTACTCAACATGAAGTTCGGGGAAGCTGAGAGAGTTGGAGCTGTCTGGAAACATGATGACAGTGTTTGGGTAAAAATGTAGAGAAAAAGCTTGCTGGGCAACGTATATTTGAATAATTCATTACTGAAAAATGTTTGAGAGTTTAATACTACTACATGAAAATATATCACATTCTAGGGCCACATTAAATCCATGTTAATGCATTTGTATGTGTGATGCATTACTGGGGCGTTTGGTGCATTTTCGAAGACCCCAGTGAATTGACTTGAACTGAAAATGTGCACCAACAGAAAGTTATTCTTCCTCTAACGCACCATAACAATGCATTGGTATGAATAGATCTCATTACAAGCCATGTTCTCACGTCTGAGCATTTTGTCTTAACCAGAAGACGCAGCCAAGTGCATGACAACGCATGCAACAGTAAACATACACAGTATGTAAGCACACTAAAATCGCATACAAGCTTTAGTCATATTCAGTCCTTTTAAACTGGCAGCTTTTATTAAAATAATATCTGCTGATCCTTGCCATGGAGGCAAAGCAAGTCACTTCCCAGCTCCAACTTAATCCCTCCTCCCTTCTTCAAGCTAGTAGATGGACAGCTGCTGGAGACTGTGCTATCCCTTGTGCTCTTGCCTTAGACAGGAAGTTCAGGGAAGCCGAGCTGAGAGAGTTGGAGCCAGCTGTTCAGAAACATGATGACTGTAAGTGTTTAGGCAAAAAATGTAAAGAAATCCTTTGCTGGCCAATGTAGATTTGTTTGATCTGGATTCATTATTGAATAAGAGGTTTGAGAGTTTAATATTACTTTAACTTCACACAATACTCTGTGATATAAAAGTAGCTTCTCTGGCAGCGATGACCTTTACAGTGTAAAAAGGAAACAATACTAGATGTGTAAGCTTAAAATAATTGTACTATTTCAAGACTTCTTCTGTAATCCAGAAACCACCCAGACGGCATATGTAGAAGATGTTTTAGCCAAGCATCTGAAGAACTGAAACTATAACCATCTTTATTACATCAGGGCCGACATGTGGCATTTTCTAAGCGAAAGACTTTCCAAAAACTCCATTACACCCCGCCTATATATTCATTTTAATTGAATAAAAATAAAAAACAGAAATAGACATGAACAAACCGGCGATTTATAAAACGCCGATTAGGTTATTGTAGTCACAAATTACAATCAATTATGAACTTTACCTCCTCTCCTGGCAGTAGGGCACAGACAAAAAAAGACAAAACAGCAATTACAGTGGTACCTCGGTTCACGAACTTAATTCGTTCCACGATTCTGGTCACGAACCAAATTTGTCGTGAACCGAATAAACCTGTGATCAGACCGCGATCTCGACTAGAGCAAGCCGCAAACAAGTGTCAGAGTGGGGAAGATGGCTGCGGTCGTGTTTGTCACCAGATGCGGAGTTCGCAAATGGAAGCAAAAGTTTGCCAAACTTCCTATTCGCAAACCGAATTGTTCGCGAACAGAAGCGTTCGTGAACCGAGGTACCACGGTACTGTAGCCTTGAACAAGTCCTATGGAAAGATTGGGCAATTATGTAGACATGAACACACATAAAATTAGTTCATTCAGGTGAAGGGAATAGGGTACTGCTTGTGTTTTCTGCAGCGGGGATCAGGTTTACATAGCATTTGTTAATTGTTGCTTGCACAATACATTCTCTATTCTGAGAGAAACGTTCTTCTCTGTACTGATAATTGTTCTGGGTTCCAAGGGTGGGGGGGGCTGGTCAATGTAATATTAATATGATGAACCCTGCCTGTGCTGTGCTGGCTGATCTTATTATCAGTTGTAAACTAGATTTGAACACTGTCTCTGCTATCAAATGGTTAAAGATCTAAATGTGAGAGAAAGCGCAGTCTGGTCTTTCTATGGGGACAGAGTTTCCTGTCACTTGGAAACTGAAATAGAAGCTTGCAGAGGCCTGCTATACAGACATCTAATAGGGTTCACTGCTTATTTTGGTCTAGGGAATTTAAGAGGGGATCCCATTAAAAACACAAAAAAGTGGGGAGCCCCCTCCTTTCACATCAAAGCCACCTGCCTCTCACATCAGAATCCTCCCTTTACATAAGATGTCCCCTCCTTTCACATCAAAGCCCCCTGTCTCGCACATCAGAATCCTCCTTCTACATAAGAAGCCCCCTCCTTTTACATCAGAGTCCCCCCTCTAACTTTAGGAACCCCGCTTAATATCAGGAGCCACCCTCTATCATCAAAGACCCCTTTTTTCACATCATAAGCCCCCCTTCATATCAGGTGCTTTACCTTCAAATCAGTGTCCCCCTTTCATGTCAGAGTCCCCCCTTCACATCAGAGTTCCCCCTTCACATCAGAAGACCCCTTCACATCAGAGTCCTCAGTCCCTCTTCACATCAGAGTCCTACCACCACATCAGGAGACAGCTGCAGCAGCATGGCACAGAGCAGGAGGCAGAGCAGAACTGGACTGAGGCGAACATCCATCAATTCCTGAATGGCTCCCACCCTCCCTGGAGTAGCATCATTTGTTGTGTGAAACTTTTGAGGAACCCCTGAGGAAGCCAGAAGCCACCATGCCATGGCAAACTGATTGAGATGTATGATGTAGACTATAGTAAACATTCCGATCACATGACACATAAGAGCTATATCAGTTTTTGATTACTGATGATCACAGTCACATCTGGGTCACCCCAAATCTGTGTATTTAAACTAAAGTCTGCACAAAGACTGGATGTTGCAAATGCAATCTAAGACTACAACAGTAATAAAGAATCAGCATAAAGCAATTACCTGCACAATCCAGACATTCCCTAGCTGTGCGTGCTGTAAACTTGTGAGACAGAATCGTCTTAAAATCATTGAGGAAGTGTATAGATCCAAGAGGAGATTCACAGGGAATGTTACCTGTTAACATAAATGTATAAACAATGAGTACTACAGTTGTAACCAATGTAAGGATCTAATACAATAAATTCAATTATATTTTTGGATTTTAAGGCAGTCTGTGGGAAGCTGCAGACTTCAGACAGAAATAGAAAACACATTACTGTAAGTAAAGCTGACATTGTAGGCCCCTTATTTAATATTTCCTATTATAAACACATTTATTGTATTTTAAAAGTTAACCTATTGTTATAAGAGACGGCTAGAGAAAGAAGGTGATTGAAGTCTTTTCATGTGGCTTTAACACCAATTTCTCCTTCCACCATCTCTAGTACAGCAACAGAAGTTACCATTGTGTTACCAAGTGTTATATCAGGAAAAATTTAAAATATGTATACAGGGAGTCTGCGCGTTACGAACATCCGAGCTACGTACGACTCGTACTTACGAACGGAGGTCCCAGGCTGTTCCACTAGTTGTAATGCTACTGTGCTCGTGCCAATGTTTGCAGTACTGTACCTCCTGTACATTACAGGAAGTTGTTAGACAAGGATTGGGCCTGGTTCGTAGTACTGTACCTCCTGTACATTACAGGAAGTTGTTAGATGGGGTGTGGGTCTGGTTCATAGTACTGTGCCTACTGTACATTACAGGAAGTTGTTAGACGAGGATTGGGTTTGGTTCGTAGCACTGTACCTCCTGTACATTACAGGAAGTTGTTAGACGAGGAGTGGGTCTGGTTAGTAGTACTGTGCCCTCTGTACATTACAGAAAGTTGTTAGACGTGCAGACGAAGAGTGCCTGCCTTTTCTACCGGATCTGGTACTGTACATTACAGGAAATTGTACAAACATCTGTCCAAGTTGCACTTAGAGTAGAACTCCACGCAAATTTGATTTTTTTTGTTTTTTTTAGAGGATAGCAAAACAAGTGTTACAGGGGGTGAACCCTTCCCTATGCTATCCTAAACTACAAAATGTTTTTTTTGTCTGGAGTTACACTTAAAAAATGTACCTGTTCCAACTTACATACAAATTCAACTTAAGAACAAACCTACAGACCCTATTTTGTTTGTAACTCGGGGACTGCCTGCACTTAGTAAATCTCTTCAATATCTTCACATTTCTCCAAGTTTTATCACTTTAAAAACACTGCAAGCACAGAAAAATACAGCACTTGTTGATGTGATACAAATCCAGTGTGTCCCGAACTTTCTGCTTGCGCGAACAACACAGTGCCTTTTCTTCACTATAATTACAGCCAGTGTTGCCAGCCCTACCTGTCTGCGGACTACAGAACTCTGCCTATCTCCCGTCTCTATCTGTCACACTCCACATACAAACAATGATTTCTTTCTCAGCAAAACAATGCTGCTGCCTTGACTCTCTCGTGTTGACCCAGACACTGTTGATGGAAAAAGCCGTTGGGAGATGTAGCTCTGAGGCTTGCCTACGTCAGGCAGCTGCCCCTGCAAGACATTTTTAAAGCAGAACTAATATAAAAAATAAAATAAAGGCTTAACTCTTGCAGTGGGACTCCCCCTGCTCTGCAAGGATTAAGTGGTTGTTTTGTCTAGGGAGCTAAAATAACAAAGTTACTCATCACAACCCCATTCCTGAAAGGCTCTTACACTGCTCCCTACAGCCTGTCTCCTTCTCTGCTCCAGTCCCTCGGTGTCCAATACACAGTATTGGGCCTAATGACTCGCTGGAGCGGAGGGGAAGCGAGGCTGAAGGGAGCGGTCTAAGAGTAAGCCTGGATCGTGTTTCGGGTGAGTATAACCCTCATAGCTGCCTAGACAAAATGAGCACTTAATCCTTGCAGTGCGGGGGTAGCCTCACTGAAAGGGTTAAGATTTGATTTGCACAGAGTTCTGCTTTAAGTATGAGGATGATGTCACAGGGAGTAATAAAAGTCGTTTTATGCTGCACTTAACAGGGTAAAGAAAATGCTGGGGCATGCTCTAGAGGGGAAGACTATAGCCTTTATATAACACTCTGACACACGGCTTATGACAATGAATGGGAGACAATTATTTCATCATCAACAATTCAGACACGTACCTTCATGTATGGAGTGGACAAGGCCCAGTAAATAATTGCTGGTTTGTTGAAGTAGGACATTGTTGTCTCCTTCATAAGTGCAGTTTGGGTCATTGTCATTGCGGATGTCACCTAATCGGTTCACTGTAATAAAACAGATTTGTGAGAGTGAAAAACATTTATCATGAGAAAAGATTCAAAATTTGTACTGGTTATACAGTATGTGCACAGGGATGATCATGTTCACTGGGCTAATAAATTTTGACAATTTCCCAGGATGCAGGACATTTCAACAGCTGTAAAAAAACTTTGAATTATCTTATCTTATTCATAAATGCAGGGCTGCAGCTACCATGGGGCGAGTGAGGCACTCGCCTCAGGCGCAGCTGAGAGGGGGCGCAACCTAGGACCAGCCTGGCTGTGCCCCCTCACCCGTTGCCATGGCCAGAACAGGGTGCCATGGAAATAGGGGCTCCAGTCGGACAACACAGCCGCGGCTCGGCAGGGAGAAGAGGGGTGACAGGCTCCAGCTTCTTCTCAGATCCCTGCTGCTCTCCCCCGCCTGTATGGACAGAGGTAGCGAGAATCCGATGAGAATTGGAGTGCTTCAGCCAGCGGCTCTCTCCTCACCGCACGGCCATTCAAAAGTGACAGGCCCCCCCCGTGCTTGCTTCAGCGTCAGGATGGAGAGCGGGAGGATCCGTAAATATCTGTGATATTTACTAATCCTCAGCTATCACTCCAGTGTTTGTAAATAACTGGGGACACATAGTACTATGCGTCCCCAGTTATGAATGAACAGGAAGTGCTTTACATCTCTACCTGTTCGTGCGCAGCGTCGGGTGACATCACACATCTGATGGGGGGGGGGTTTAGGCACAATTGTCTATTCTTGCCTTGGGCGCAAAAGGAGCTAGCTACAGCTCTGCATAAATGTATTTAATGCAAGTTAAGATCGGCAGAAAGAAAGAAAAAGAGTAGTCAAAAATAGTGTCAGTGACAAATGCATAAGCAAAGAAGGTAAGACTTTAAGGGGTGTATTTATAAATAATTTGCAGAGCCATTCACCCTGCGGATCTCTGTTAACTATCATACTGTCCGAATGGAAGCAAAAACGAATGTTATTAGTATTTTATTTTTCAGGTCGAATGTAACATTCAGAAAATGCCACATTATGGCCACTAGAGAGCGGAGGAGCATGGGAAATAAGTATTCCAAATATGGAGCACAAACCTGTATTTAGCCTAAAATGCCAATTTCAAAACAATAACAGCACAAACACATCTGGTGAAAACTGTAATAGACATTTCAAACTAATTCAACAAGACAGATGTTTTCATTTTCCTTACTCCCTGCAGCAATAGTCAGTAACTGGAAATTGTTTGCAATGGAAAAAAAATATTTGTCTTATCAGTCAGCTATCAGCCAGACCTGACTTTCGGGAAACAGGTTTATTAATCCCTATTATTTTCTTGGAATTTTTCTAGATGGTGGGTAATCATTGGCTGGACATAGAACAGCGGTCTGAGATCTAATCATCATGCTTTTGACAGTAATCCTCTTTCTGGTCACTTACTAGCTAGAAAGCCATGACCTCCGCATGCTTCTCGGCATTCCTGTGCCCCCCGCTGTGCAGTCCATGAGGCCAAGGGCTTGCCAGCACAGGACAGAGCATGGATCTCCTTGCCAAGTTCAGCCTGAAAACAAAAACACACATGATAAAATCACAGACTATATTCTGTCCGTCATACCAACCAACCAACCAACCATAATGTCGAACAATTCTGCCCAATCATTGGAGGCATCATGATGCATATTCTAAAGCAGAACTCCAGCCTTTGTGTAAAACACCACCCCTACACTTATATATACATATATATATATTTTTTTTAAATTTATATTTCAAGGGTCTCCTGGCTGATCTAGTGACCTTAAGGGCAGGGCCAGATTAACATAGAGGCTACCAGAGCTCCACCTCCAGGCCCACCAATGGCAATCAGGGTCGGCCGGGCTGAACACAATCAGGCAGAGGCACAGGCGGCTCTCTAATCAGGTATATTAGGCGGCCGCTCACTGTGGCCCCGCTGGGCCCCAGAGAGAAGCGAGCGGCCTCCTAGTTAGAGAGCCCCCTCTACTGCTTCCCCTCCAATCGACCAACAGCACCAGGCCCATGATGCTCTTAATCCGGCTCGGTCAACGGTTCTTCCTCTTCTATGACAGTGGGCAATTTTAAATCCTGGACTAGGCAGCACACTTAATGATGTGTGCGTGCCATTTAGTGCAGTAGTATTCTGAGCCCATGCCAGAGTGATGGCACACCCCCCAGAGTCGTGCTCATAACAGCCTGGGCTCAAAGGAAGTTCCAGCATCATTGAGTCCATAAGACTGGTGCACATGGTGGCTGAGCTGAATTACTTTGGGGGGCATTCTTTTTTTCTTTTAATTTATCCAGAGTTCTAGTTTAAAATGGAAGTAAAAGCAATTATAAAAAAAGCTGCTTAACTGCTTGCTTGTTTGTTTGCTTTTGTTTTTTAAATAAAGTGCCAGATTTTACAAGCCCATGGACTTAAGTCTCAAATAGAAGGCTGACTGAGCACTAGGTTCCAGTAGCGGTAGTGCAAATGGAAGGGTACCAAGCTTGCTACCGTGATGGACTACAATCTCACTGCAAATTAGTAAACTCAACATAAGATTGTAGTCCATCATAAGAGTGAGCTTGGAGCAGTGACTACTATACAACACACACAGGGACCATGGGGAACAAAAGTAGCCACACCCCAGAAGGAAGGACAGTGTCAGCACCAATTCAGAGATGATTTCAGGATCTACAGCCAAGTGATACACAAATAAGATACATTTTTGTTAATAGCTAAGGAAATTGAATGTATTTTTAAGATTCACCTCCTGAGTTTAGTGCCACTTTAAGCTTTTTGTGTCCTCCCGTTACCCTAAGGAGAACTATGGGGAAAAGCCCTGACCCCATAGTTCTCCTTTAACATTTTTAATGTCACTGTGTATAAAATAGAAGAGTTGTGTTTATTTTTAAATTCACTTGAAAGTGATAAATTCCCCAGTAAAAAATAGCCAAGTACAAACAATTAGTAAACTAATTTGGCTAAATTCAGACATGTTATGACAAAAATAATGTAGAACACACAGAGGAATATTGGATTTAGAGTTCAAACAGCTAAAAACAGAATTTGGCACATTCTGAAGAATAAAAAAAACAAACAGTTGCTTTGTAACAGAAACAGTTTATGGACCCGGCAGTGTCCCACACATGGTGTGTTTAGAGGGCGCAGCAAACAACGGGGAGCAGTATATGGTGCCACTGACACTGGGTTCTGTTATCAGGAAGGACTTGTCAATAACTGGTAACTATTTAAAAGGTATATCATGTTTTTGCAATCCATTTTTGTATCTACTTGTAAAAGATGTAAATAATGTTATCCATGGGTTTTAAAGAGACCATTAATTCCATCTACAAGCTTCCCATAAATAAGATTAAAATGATGTGCATTTCATGTATTTTATGTTACTCACCTGTAAAAGCCTCCCATGAGTAGACATCTGAATGCTCCGAGACTCCTGCTAGATGCTGCCATCTTCAGTGGTGAAAGGGGGTAAGGGTCTACTTTCCCCTGTCACTCCTTCCAGCTGCTACATTAAAATGTATGCAAGGAGGTGAGGGGTGGAGGAGCTAGCACAGCACAGAGAGTTAGACACTCCCAAAAGAAGAGAAAACTGTGACCTTCCAGGTGGGATAAGGCTGTGCTAAAGAATTTACTTTCCTGAAAAGATAAATTGCTAGCACATTTTGCAAGTAAATAAATAATTTATGGGAGGGAAAACACTGCAAGTAAGCATTTAAAATACTTGATTTTCCAGGCTTTTACATGCAATTTTTAAGTTGGTGACAGGGTCTCTTTAGTGCAAAACTATCCTTTGCCTACTCAGTACAAACAACAGGTTTGCTTTATTGTCTCCTACCTAACAAGACACTATCTGCAAGGAGTTTGCATGTTCTCCCTGTGCTTGCGTGGCTTTCTCCGGGAACTTCGGTTTCCACCCACGCTCTAAAGACATGTTGGAAGGTTAATTGGCTCCTGTCTAAATCAGCCTTCGTATGTATGCATGTGAGACAGGGACCTTGGATTGTAAGCTCCTTGAGGGCAGGGACTTAAGTAAATGTGCACTGTGTAAATTGTCAGCCCTACATCAATACCTGTAATAAATAAATATAAAAATAACAGAGCACTCATCATTCTTTTGCTCTGTTCATCCACTGGGAGCAAACAAAATGCCTGCCGCTGCCGGGTAAGGAATAACATGTATCTCACTCCATGCAACAACACTGGTGATTGTCATTGCCTGTCACTGCGGGGTAAAGGGAATCTTCAGTGCTGTGTAAGCTCCAACTGGAGCTCGTTAAGGGCTTGTTCACACCGAAAGCGTGTGCGTTCCAGAGAGGTATCTGCTGGAACGCACTGCGATCGCTGAGAATCCCCCCTTGCATTTGGGGGCCGGAGGGAGTGTGGCGGTGCATTGAATTCAATGGCACCGCTTCCACGCCCATGTGGGCAAGCCCTATTTTTTGCGTTTGCAGTGGAACGGAACGCTGGCGTTCGATCGCACTGCGCAAAAAATGTGCACTTGAACCTCGTAGTGCTGGGGTAGCCCCACTGCACGGGTACTTATTTTGTATGCCCTTGTGTAAGCTTTAAAGCTTATACCGTGTTGTTTCTCTGTGCTCTTGGTAGATGAACAGAGAAGTGAGGGTGAGAAGGAAAGGTAAGGATGTGCAGCTGAAGAGGGGCATTAGAGGGGCCTGCTACTTTACCCGGCAAGTGCAGTGCTGACCAGAGTGTGCCTTTGAGAAAATCCTTTGCATGTTTAGGTGTCAGTGGCCCTATTTATCAAGGTATCTGAAGGAAGAACAGTCTACCTTGCCAATAGCGGGCAATCAGATTACCGCCTTCATTTCCCTCAGAGCGGAATGGAAGAAAGAAAGAAGTGATGGTTATGGGCACAAAGCAGTTCATGATTCAAACACTTTGATTAATGAGGCTCACTGTGTGCAAGCTGGTGTTTCTGAAGACTATCAGAGATACTAAAGAATTATAATTCCTAACAGCTGCAGTAGAGGCCAGAGAATGAGGTGCTAACCCAAGCAAAGTCTGATAAATGACATACAAGCTCTCCATGATAGATTACTTTAAATCGTCAGCAACCCAGTTCAGTACATTTAGGTGCAGGCTTTTCAACACCTCAAAAATTACATTTTACTGTAAGCCCCCATCCTCCCTAACCTATAACTCTATCCATCAACCAGAACTATTGTACTTAACCTAACCATTACCAACTGACTATGAACACTTTATCTAGACTTTAAGTGACATTAAACCCTCAGATTCTTTAACATAAAACAATACTGTAATGTGTGCCATACTGTAATCTATGGTAGTTTCCCTTCTCTTCGCTGCTCTTCCTTTTAAATCCTCATGTCTTCTCATGCTGGGCAGAACTTCTGTTTTGCAGCAGACTGCCTTGTCTCAGGAATGGATATATGGTGTCTGTGTATAGGTTTGTAACCTGAGCCAGCACTACAGGAAGAGGCCCTGAGCTGCAAAGGGAAGTCCCCAAGCATGAGAAGAGAGAAGGATATAAAAGGAAGAGCAGCAAAGAGAAGGGAAACAACCATGGATTACAGTAAGGCGCACATTACAGTATTGGTTTATGTTAAAAAATCTGAGGGTTTAATGTCACTTTAAGGCCTCGTTCACATGAGCGGCAGACTTTACCGCTCCTCTGAAAAGCAATTTGTGGTGGATCGTTTTCAGAGGGTGGTAGAGCAGCAGATCTCTAGGTGTTCAGGAGGTGACACTGCTACCTCCTGAAAGCCTGTTTTCTTTTACTCCCACAGGCCATTTTACTACCACGCCATATCCACATGCCAAGCGTTTGGCGCACAGTTGTGACACGGTCCCATTCACATCAATGGCTGCGCTTGGCACTGGGCAACATCTGCCGAAAGCATCATGCTGTCTCATTTTTGCTGCTTGTTGTGTTGATGGGTTTGTGTCAATGGCATCAGTTCAACCTCAGTTTGGCCTCGTTCACATTAACCAGCACACTAAAACACGTGATAGCTAGTTTGTGATGTATTGCTACACCGCATTGAGCCGTTACATCTTTTTCGCTCTTTTTTTCTAAACTTTATTGAAATTTGACATAAAGACACTTCATTCAACTCTATACCAGGTGCAGTGACATGCAATTAGGTGTGTTGCTCTGTGTAAAAATGCAGACATGCTAATGCCCATGAACTGCTGTGGCCACTGTCAGATTTCCTTGCTTTGGATAGCACTGCCTGCAGCAATTCGTGAGACTCACCCAATCGGCCCCATTCACAAGTGTGCTAAAAAAAACATATTAATCCTGTGAACTAATAAATTTGTGTGCCCTCTGCCTGTGCTGATTGTAATTAGTAAGCATTGTTCCCAGTTCTCTCTGAGGATGACAAGATGGGATGTTGCATTTATTTGTGTACTGCAGTGCCATTAGTAATCATTGTTCCCAGTTCTCTCTCAGGAAGACAAGATGGAATGTTGCATTAGTAATCATTGCTCCAAGTTCTCTCTGAAGACGACAAGATGGGATGTTGCATTTATTTGTGCACTGAGGTGCCATTCATTGC